CTGCTCATGTTCTACTTCTCTGCTAGGCGATTTGTCACTCGCGTTTACTCGATCACTGGTGTTGTTTTAGTTTAATTCCCTTGCTGGTTGTTCTTCTTTCATTTAACCACTCGTTGTTTCTCCTCGCTGTTTCTCTCCTGCTCTGCACCCTAGAGCTCTCTGTCTAACTGCAGGCGACTGTACGAGAATGAACACTATTATTCCTCGTTCTATCCTGCATTAGTCTCGCGCGACAGCGTCTCATCTCGCGATGCGCACGCCAGATAGCTCGTTGTGACGTGCGAGCAGGCGGCGAAGACCATGTGAATTGTAATGTCGCGATGACATTGTCCGACTCCGTGATTGATTCAGTATTAAACTGCGCGACCAGTCAGTGGTGCATGGCCTTTCTTCTTATTCTACGTAACTCTGGCCCTGTCACTCTGTTTTCCCTTCACTCACACACTCTCTCTCTCTCTCTCGCTCAATCTCCACTTTCTTCTCTCTTCCTTACTCTCGCACTCTCTCTCTCTCTCTCTATATATATATATATATATATATATATATAATATAGTAAAAACACACACGAACACCCATGTAGATAAGAAAGCAAATGTGAACAAAATAGAAAGGGTCGTAAAACTTTAATATGCGAGCTTTCGAGAGGTATATGTCTTCGTCAGGCGTTAAAAAACTCCTTAAAAATCCGCCATATTAAAGTTTAACTCACTTCCTATTTTTTGTGCGTTTGTTTTCTTATATATATATATATCCAGCCAGCCAGCCAGCCAGCATTTATTCATCCATTCATTCCCCACCTAGACACAATTCTCATGGATGGATGGATGGTTGGATGGATGGATGGATGGATGGATGGATGGATGGATGGATTGATTGATTGATTGATGGATGGATGGGAGAGATTGGGTGTCTAGGTGGGTGAATGAATGGATGAATAAATGGCTGGCTGGCTGGCTGGCTGGATATATATATATATAAGAAAACAAACGCACAAAAAATAGGAAGTGAGTTAAAACTTTAATATGGCGGATTTTTAAGGAGTTTAACGCCTGACGAAGACATATACCTCTCGAAAGCTCGCATATTAAAGTTTTACGACCCTTTTCCTATTTTGTTCACATTTGCTTTCTTATCTACATGGGTGTTCGTGTGTGTTTTTACTGGCGCGTGCTGATTTGCGTGCGAGTGCCCTGTTGTGTGTGCGTGCGTTTGTGTGTGTGTGTGTGTGTGTGTGTGTGTGTGTGTGTGTGTGGTTGTGTGTGTGTGTGTGTGTGATGTGTGGTGTGCGTGCGTTGCTTGTGTGCGTGCGTGTGTTGTGCCTTGTGCGTGGCGCGGGCCGCGCCGTGTGTGTGGAGCGTCGTGGTGCGCGTATGTGGATGGCGTTTGCAATACGTAAGTGGCTGCCGTGCGTGCGGGTTTTGTGTGTGCGTGTGCGCATGGTGGCGTGGGCGAGTGTGAGTGGTATGTATTGTGTCGGTCCGTCCAATTGGAGTGTCTTGCTTATCTATGTATAGATTTCAAAATTCCCGTCCGCGTCCCGGTATTCTGTGGCGAGATGGGTTATGGCGACGCGCGCGCAGGCGGTTATTTATTCCGCGAGGGGGATTCAGGAGGTTATGTTTTCCCGGCGTGTGGTTTGTGGTATGTGGTTTTGTGTGTTTAGTTTGTTTGGTGTAAGCGTAAACAACTAAAAAGTTTGACGGATTTGTCATGAAATGGTTTCAGATAAGGTGAAATGGGCTACAATTAGAATGATTCGTTTTGGTGGTATCCGTATCATTAATTATATTAAGTTAATTAATTAATTTTCGGATAGGTCTGATGGGGTTACTATAGAATTGATTACTTTTTGGTGGTGATCCGGTATACCAATTATTATTTTAAATTAATTAATTAAATTAATACATATTTTCACGTTGAGGCATTGAGCTGCCTTGGCGGAGGTCTGAGCTCTCCGGTGCTTTGTTAGTTATGCGTCCTCTCGGACCGCGCCACTCGAGGTTCCATAACCGGCAGCGACGCGCATGCGAGCGTCCATAATGGGCGGCATCACTCCTAACCTTAATCATACAGAGGCGATAAAGGTGCGAATAAGAGATAGTTGGTATTTAGGATAGATAGATCCATGGGTTGAATGAAGTGAATGAATGGATGGATGGATGGATGGTATGGATGGGTGGATGGATGGATGGATGGATGGATGGATGGATGGATGAATGAATGGATGGGATTTGATTGATTTAGTTGATGGATGGATGGGAGGATTGGTGTTCTAGGTGTGTGAATGAATGGATGATAAGATGGCGGCTGTGGTGGCTGAATATATTATTATATAAGAAACAAACGCCAAAAAATAGGCAGTGCAGTTAAACTTTTATTGCGGATTTTAGCTGGTTTAAAGCCTGACGAAGAATATTACTCTGAAAAGCTCGCATTATTAAGTTTTCGACTTTTCTATTTGTTACCTTGCTTCTTATCTTCCATGGGTGTTGTGTGTTTTTTACTTATTATCTATTATATGATATAGATTTCAGTTAGACGAGAGAGAGAGAGGAGTGCGAGAGTAAGGACGG